TAAAATAGTGAATATTTAACTGTTTTAGGCTTATATAGGTAATCATTTCATTAGAGAGTGGCGGTGCAGTTATTCCATTCTGAAGCGTTTCCTGCATTTGTTGAATTCGGGGAAAAACACTTGGCGCAACTGGAGTATTTCTAGTTTGAAAAAAGTCCAAGTCATGTATTAACCTAAAAAAAGATTTTTTAAAAATACATATTAATACTGACATATAAATTATATACGTATATATAACGCACCTCAGATCATCAGGTGAGGTGCATAAACTATTAATTAAATTATTAATTTATCATTTAAGTCACAATCTGACAGTAAAATAAACTGAATAAAAAACTTTTGACTTGGCACTTTTTTTTTTCATGCTTTTTTGAATCTCTTAGCACTTCTGTTCTTTTCTATGAAGTTCTTGCCTGAATTTTCGATTCCAATAATATATTGCTTTTATAATACCCAAATTAAATTAAATTAATTAAGTTTGCAAACACTTTTTATAAACAAATTCTAAAAGATTTTGTTGCGCATGCATCTCTTTTTTTTTTCTATACATATAGTTTTTTTTTTGCCTAAATTTTTGCTGCATATTTATCATTCTTAAGTTTTCTTAACATGTTCAATTTCAATAATACTTTTTTTTTCTGTGCTTAATTAACTAATTGATAGGTTATGCGTCTTACCCAATCTGAGGATACTACGTATAAATATGCAATAATATTACTATACTTACTGTTTTCCATTAAACATAATAAACATTGTAATTAATTCAATAAGAATAACCGTATCTGGATTAGAAAACTAGCCCACAAGATTAATAATGGCTTTTGAAGGATCAGGTAATTTACTTTCTTCTTGATAAAAAGTAATCAAGTATTTCAAATATGGTTTCATTCAGATAATAAACCAGAACCAGGAAAACCACCTAGTTTTTACAGGTGATGGAGATAATGTTAATCGAACATCTTCGTTTGATACATGTGATGAAAGATGTCTTAACCAATGTTGTTTTCAAGGAGCTGAATAAGTGAATGTCAATTTAATGGCTGTAACAACATTATCTATGATTTGGAATTTATCATAATCAAGTCATGATTTCCAACCAAATTATATATATGTGTGAAACAAGTATTATGTCGCATTTGTAGAATTAATGGCAACAGAATATCTGAAAATGATTTCTTTATATAATCTGTGTTATTACTAATATATAGAATAATATTTTTAAAGGGCAGGTTAAATGAAGAAATCGTTGAAATGACTAGTTGTGAAATAGTGGAGAAGTTAACTTCTGCAAGAAATTCGGTTTTTATGAGTTTCGTTAGCTTATCAAAACTAAAAAGTATATTAACAACGCTTCTTACACATGCATCAGTTTTTCATCAACGGTAATGCTAACTTTTTTGTCTCAAATAAAAATGTACAATTTTTCTAATTCAACATTATAAACAAAAGGCAAATATCGTTGTCGAAGCTAACAGGCGCTTACAATTGAATTGCCTAATAAATTAAAATTTATATATTTTGTATTTTTTTTTTTAAAAAAATATAAATACCATTTGTGCAATATTTTTGTAAGAATGGTTTTAATTTTTCAACTTTTTCTAAAGGAACATCCGCCTTTGTAAAAGCCTTAATTAAATTGATATTAATTTCTTGTTTATCCATTACTTGGGTTTGAAGTATAAGTAAGTTTTGCTGATCTAAAGTTTCACTAGATTCGGCAATTTTTTTTGTCTTTCGTATTTGTTAGTTTTTAGATATGAATCTAAATTATGTTTTTTATGATGATCAATGAGACATTTACAAAAAGTATAATAAATTTTTCCTTTGCTTTCATAAAAATCGGTTTTGTATTGAGGATACCAATCTAAAAGTAAAATAACTGGTAGCATTTTTTTTTTTGAAAAAAAATATATTTGACTAATTTATTATTTTATAAATTTATCTTCGCTACGATAATTGTTTAACAAATCAGTCAAAAGAACAAAGGCACTAATCACGTGTTTAGTGCGATAATAGCAAAAATTGCATCTTAGCACAAAACAAAGTCACTAGCTATTTTGCTAAAAATAGCGCTATTTTAGATGCTACGAAAATCCACTGCTCTGAATTAGGGTAGGTATGAAACCTACATTTACTATTAAAAAGGGTACGTGCAAATTCAAATGATTTGATACGTGTCTGTAGATTAGTATGTTATTTTTGTCACGTGAACTTTATAAATCGATTAGTAAAAACTACCTAGCTTTAGACAAGTCTTTAAACTTTTCTCCCATGCGAGTTAGTGGTGCCGAAAAAGAATATCAGTCCCATGATCTCCCAATTGGAACTTGAATCTAAAAACTTTATCGTTAGTGACATTTGAAATTAAGCATAGAACTTATGCCGGTAACTAATCGCTCAAAATTGTTTTAAAAATACATTAGACACAATAATTATCAAATTTTTTAGATATCTAGTATTTGCTTCAATTTTCAGTATTACTCTATTTCTGGTATTGCAAAGAATCAATAAAATAAACATTGTAGTATAGACCTTCTTTAAGAGAGTAAAGCTTGGATCTATTATCTATTTTCCCAACACGTTATACTTATTTTTTTGGTCATAAAAACTGATAAAATTTGATCAATGATCCTTTAAATTATATTTTTTTGCTAGATACGTACTAGACAGTCAATTGATGTGTACATCATTAGAAAGTACTCTAAATTTAAAAAATCACATAGTAGAACTTGCGTCTAACCGATTACCCACCCTTTAACCGATTACTTTTTTCACTAATCAAACAACAACAATTTGATTACTGTTACATTTATTTATGCCAATATCGATATACGATATATCTGGAAAAAAAAGCAATGCAAAATTTGTTACAGGAATGTATTTTAATTGTAAACTATTATTTCGTTAATAATTTCACCGACAGCCATTTCATCGATAATCCACTTCAATGACAGCCCATTTTACCGACAGCCCACTTCACCAACAGCTGGGTTTTGGTAGATTTCGCCGACAAATTACCTCTAGCTAACGCCAACTATAAAGCAAACCAACTCTAACATTAAATCGGCCGAATTTGTTAGCGAAATAGCTGTCAGCGGAGTTGGTTTATACCAGGGACACAGAAATTATGTGATTTAGTGTGATTAACCCAAATTGCATAATTTTATATCATTTATACTATATCAATGTCAAATGTATTCATCATTAGCTTGATTCAGCCTTATATTTAACTATTATAAAACCTGATTAATAGTATGTTAAAATGCGAAATAAATTATTTTTTTATAGTATGTTAAAATGCGAGTAAACTAAATAGCGCTTTTAGTAGTATGTTAAAGTGTAAAAAATGACATTAAGACCTAAATAATATAATCGCTTTAAGAAAAAAAATTTATTAGTTTTTTGTATGGATCCAAAAAGAATTACATTGAGCAGTAATATGCTTGAAGCTCTTTAGTTGTGCGCAGTATTTAAAAAATTGATTTAAAAAATTGAAGTTTTTTAGTTGTGTGTAGTAATTAATAAAAAAAATTATATTTTTTAGTTGTGTATAGTGCTCGGCACTTGTGATTAAGTTGGACATCAAACAAGAACGAATACTACATTATACATATGTAATCTGCAATTTTTTGATGTCCAACTTAATCATAAGTATTTGACTGTCAAATTTTTGTTTGATTGTGTCGAGCACTAGTTTGTTGATACTGTTTCTGATAGAATAAAAAAAAAATTTATATACTATTTTTAATAGAGTTCTTAAAGGAACCTCTTATACAATGCTTAGTTATAATATGAATGCTAAGTTATGATCTGATTGATTCACAACATTGATTTAACTTTTCTAAATATAATACAGTACTGTATCTATATAAAAAACTTTTATTGGAGACAAGTAATTTAAAGAGAGCTAATAATTAATTTAACAAAAGAATGATTATATTAAAATCATGGTTGTAGTTGGCTAAATTAAATATTAGCTCTCTTTAAATTACATGTCTTAAAATAATAACTATATAAGTTATTTTGCATGAATTGGTAAGAAATTTGGGTTGAAAAACTTTATTAAATGATCGAATACTAATTTTTATTATGCGTTGATCTTTATCTAATTGAGCAGTAATAGTGAACTGCCAAATTTTTATGCAAAAGCCTTATATTTTAGAACCCTATCAGGGACGGTATGTAATCGTTTTTTTTTCATTCCATCAGGAACAGTATTTTTGCATTAAGCAAAAAAAAATAGTAAAAATAGTATAGATCAAACCTTTCATTTTTGACATAATGATCGACATGCAGATCAGTAAAAATAAGAATTTTCAAAATTTTGAGCGAAGATATCTCGACAACCATCTGATCAAATTCGATAAAACGTTTTTATTTGAATTCCATTGATTCATAGAATTCAAATAAAAAAATTTCTATCGAATTTAGTCAGATGGTTGTTGATAAATCTTTGCTCAAAGTTAGGAAAAAATCAAACCCTATTAAAATATAAAGCCGCGCCAAATTTTTTTCTCTAACTTTGAGCAAAGATATCTCGACAACCATCTAACCAAATTCGATGAAAGTTTTTTTTTTATTTGAATTTCTATGACTCCATAGAGCTCAAATAAAAATGGGTTATCGAATTTGGTCAGATGGTTGTCGAGATATCTTCGCTCAAAGCTAGAGAAAAATCAAAACGCATATCAAAATAGAAGTTACGCCAAATTTTTTTTCTAACTTTGAGCGAAGATATCTCGATATGAATCCATAGAATGAATTTGGTCAGAGATATTTTTGTTCAAAGTTTTGAAAATTCTTATTTTTACTGGATCTGCACGTCGATCAGTATCAAAAATGAAAGTTTGAATCTGCGAAGTGCAAGACTTGTGTCACGTGAATGTGCGACTGTTGTAAGATATATAAACGCGATAATACGGACGGTATAATACCAAACACCAATACTATTAGAATATCTTAAAAATTCTTTTTGATAATTCACTTTCTCATGAAAAAAAATGGCTGTAGATGATAAATATTTGTTGAAACATTATTTTGGGGTAAGCATGGTCCGATCTCTCTTTTTATCAATGTTAATCGTTTACAAAAATTTCATTAACACGCGTATTTTTACTGTGAAAGAAAGGAATCGACGAAAGTAGCTTATTATGGTGTGAGTTTCAACCCTTATGACCCACGCGATGAAACCATATTTGCAACCGTGGGTGGCCGAAACGTAAGTACCAGGGGTCTATTCAAGACAGGCTTATTTTGAATGAATTAAAAATACATCTTTGCACAAATTTTCTAGGTCATTATTGCACAATTTGATAATACTAAATCTGTATCTCTCGAAGTGTTACAAACATATGTGGATGAGAATGTAAAATATTTATTTTAATTTTCTGATAATTTACTAAAATTTTATATTCTAAAAGCCTAATATGCTATATTCTATAGACGGAAGAAAATTTTTATTGTTGCGCATGGTCTTTTGATCCAATTAGTGGGGCGCCTTGGCTCGCTGTTACTGGAGCGCAGGGTATTATTAAAATTTTAGACTCTAGCGTTGGCAGTGTCGTGCGGGTACGTATTTATCATATAATGAATAATTTACTCACATTGTTACATTAACTAAAAATTTTATTTTATAATTTAATTCTATGACGCGCTACATTGAAATACAGTCCATGATAGGACATGGTGATGCAAGTTCGATGATAAATTTATTTTCGTAATTGATTACATTTGCATATTTCATTTTACAAAACTAATAAGTATTTATATTTCATTTAATGCAGGAGATAAATGAAATCAAATTTCATCCAAAAAGGCCAACATTACTATTCTCGGCGAGCAAAGACTTTTCTGTGCGATTATGGAATGTAGTGACATGTATGCCTATTTTGGTTTTTGGTGGTGAATGTGGTCATCGTGAACCTGTCTTGAGCATTGTAACGTATTTTTATTTTTATTTTTATTTTTTCATTAATTATTTTTAATATTCGTAATATTTTATTGATCATAAAATTCTTATTAGGACATACATTTATCTGGAGATTTCTTAGCTTCTTCTGGAATGGATCATGCTGTTAAAATATGGTCTTTATGTACGCCAGTAGTCAAGAATGCCATTGAGTCTTCTTTAAAACCTACACAACCATCCCGTCCTCAACAGTCTTCTTCGTCTAGACAACAAACGTGCTGTAGATCACATGGAAAGCCATCAGCCTCCGTATTTGTGCATTTTCCTATTTACTCAACAGCACAATTGCATAATAACTATGTAGATTGTGTCAGATGGTATGGTGACTTATTATTTTCAAGATGTGCAGCAGATGCAACAATTCTATTATGGAAGCCCAATGTCGAATTAGTAGCAAGCGACAACTCTAATATAACAACTACCGTTGTTGGCGGTCCTGCTGTGGCAAGCAAAGCAAGTAGTATTTTATTAATATTAATTTTATTTTATTTTCATGTTTATACACTAAATATTTTTCTGCATAAAAATATAGCAATCGTCAAGCTATGATATAATTTGTGAGTTTGAATTTGATCATTGTGATATTTGGTTTCTTAGATTTGGTGTTTCTCCTGACTATCAGCAACTTGCAACGGGAAATCAAATTGGTCAAATTTATTTATGGGATTTACAAGATATTCCATTACTTATTGATAAATATATTGAGAAAAAAAAATCAAAAAATACTGCAACTAATAAAAAGGAAAAAGTAACGGTGAAAAAAAGAGGTGGAAATGGGTCAAATGGTGGGAATGGAAAAAAATCTGCGGCGAATGTGAATACTCATAGTGCAAATTCAAATGGCAGTGGCGCAACAGCATCTGGTTCAGGTAGTAACACTAATGATAATTTAAACCAAGAAAAGGTCGAGAAGAAAGAATGTAAACCATCGATACTTGGAATAGAACCGTGTGATAGTACAATAAGACAAGTTGCATTCTCAAAAAATAGAAATTGGATGGTTGCAGTCTGTGATGATGCGACTATTTGGTGTTGGAAAATGAATAGAGAAGTACAACAAGCTGGAAATAGTAGATATGATCCAATGATTATAGATGACTAAAAGAAATGCTTTTATTTTTATTATCACTCTTATTAGTTTATGTTGGGTTATAATTTAGAAATAATGGAATAAATAGGCCTCATTATTTTTAAGCAAGAGCAATCTATGATCTGTAATGGACACAAACCAATTAAAGCTTAATATATTAAAAGAAAAGCCCGTATTGATCGATAAAGTTCACCAAGTAGGTACTTTGGATAATGATTGCTCATGCTCGTATTCAACTTCAACATATTTACCACCTGTCAAAAAAAAAAAATAAAAAAAAAGTTAAATGATTTGATTATATAGAATTAAACGAGAATCATTATTGTTAGTAATGAGTAAATGATTGAAATATAAATTCGGAATGAGATAAAACTTACGTCTTTTCTTCGGTCGTGATTCTTTAGCCTCTGTACCTTTTCTTTTACCCTATTTTTTTATTTTTAAAAAAAATACACACATATATTAGGGACATCATATTTTATAATTCAAAAAATCTGCGATTGGAACTAGTAAATAGCACAATTGATTAGTATACCTTGACGTTTGGTTTTTCGACTTCCTCATCATCATCTTCACTAATTTCTTCTAAAGCATCAAGTATATCACTATAATCGCTTGATTCATTTTCCTTATATGATATCATGATTTATTAGAATTGAATTGGCAATTAAATAACTGGGTCTTTGCCTTGAAAATGACCTTACGGTACATGATACCGTAAGGTCATTTTCAAGGCAAAGACCCCAACTAATATTATTAAAATTTTGAATTAAATCTACCTCATCATCATCATCAAAATCATGATCCTTAAGTATATCTTCCAAGTCTTCTAATTCATCTTCGCTATTATCTTCAACATATTCATTCTAATACAATTAAATCATGTAAATTGAATTGCACTAATATATTCAAGAAAGATATATATAATAATTCTATACAACACCTCTAAATCTTCAACATCACTTTCATCAGTCATATCATCTTCGGCTTCAAGGTTATCACCCTCTAAAACTGATTTCCAAACTTCTTCATTAACATTTAATGGATTATCACCATAAGCTTTACTTTTCAAACGATTAATTAATTCTTTTTCAATTGCTTTATCTATTCTTGCCGCATCTTCGGCCTTTCTTTCTCGTTTAGTTTCACGTCTTTCGATCTTCTTTTTAATTCCAACAAGTTGTGGTCTTTATAAATTTTATGGAAAAGAATGAGTACTAAAAGATTATATACGATCAAAAATAGATGGATTTATTTTTAAATATTAATAACATACCTATCTTTCAATTTTAGTCTTCTCATCCGTATTAAATATTGAGTAATTTTGGTTACGCGTTGTTTACATTTGTGAATCAAAAAATTTGGCCAATATAATAATTCTTTATCGATCTTTTTTTTTGTTTTCATAAATTCGTAAAATAAACGATTAAAAAAAAATGAATTTAAAAATAATCAAATTATAGAATTATTACACACTTGCTCTAACGCTTTAGCATAATTTTTTGATAACTTAATTCGTTGCCACATACGCGCTGGCGTATGCGCTCTCTCTATGACCTTTGTATATAAATATAATATGCCTACAAAATCGATGATTTTGAAAAAAAATTAGATAATAGATCAAAATGTAAGAATTAAAATTTTATCCAATGACTTGTTCATACCATCAATTTCACGAACAGTCGCGTATCGGCTATTTGCTAAAGGACATGATTGTCTATTACATAACCCAGTAACATTATATTCGTTTATGCAAAGATTTTGCGTTGTAGTTCTAAAATAGATTCAAAGATAAGTACGCATAAAAGCAATTAAAGTTAATTAGGTAAGAAAAAATAAATTTACTTGACTTTATAAGAGCAAAATTCTTGGTTAATAACTTGCCAAATTACCTCGTCCGACATGGTAATGTAAAGAAACATAAAAATGAAAATTTTTTTTATTATATATAAATGTAACGAGTACCTTAGCAGTTATATTTTTTATGCAAATTTTGGAAATATTGGCTGAAATTAAACTTTTACCAGAATTAACATGCATCCATAATTTTAATAGCCGATACAAGATCCCAAAATTCCGGGTCGGCCGGGCCGGAATTGATCAATCTTATGGTTAAACAACTGTTAAACTCCTACAGGAAGATCCCCAAAATTCCTGGTCGGCAGGGCCGGAAATGATCGATTTTGCCCAAAATCACTAAGAATTTTACTAATGAATTTATTAAGTGAATAGTGCCCAGCTGATAATTTTGCTATAGAACCTACTAACCACTAGGGCTAAATGCCGTCCTAAATCCGACCAGGAATTTTGGGGATTGCCCTGTAAAAATTTTATGGTTATCGTTATGTAAAAGTGCCTATCTAAAAAATTTTGTTATAGTATTGCTTAATGCCGACCAACACTAATACATTCCGATCCAGAATTTTGAGAATACCTTATAAAAGAGTTAGGGCTTGTTTGAATTCAGTTCCGAAACCCGAACTACATACGTACGACATAGTTATTCACGAATTTTTAATCACGAATTCAATCTTTTTAGTAAAAGCTTCGTGATCCGTAATTTTTTAGGGGAAAAAAGTTTTTTTGCAATTTGATGTTTAACTAAATATCTGATGACTCTTTAAATTAATCTTTGATTAAATGTTTGGTAGAATTCTCAAATGTTATAAATATAATATTGTACGTAGTTTCTATTTTATTTTTTATATTTTTCAGATAAGAAAGCGCACTTGAACAACTAAACCAGAGGTACAAATCGACTTTCAACATATAAGCAAAACTAACATCTCATATATTAAACGGAAAAAATAATTATCCAAGAAATAATTATTAACGTTAAAACATAGCGATAGTTCAAAACCCAGTTTATAAGTGCTTCGAAAATGTTAAGCAAGATAAGTCATTTCGGTAGGAAAATTTATTGACTCTTGCCTAGCAACTAGTCAACCATGATTCCGATGAATTTCGACTTGGAACTTTGAGATCTTGTGAGCTGCATAACTGACGATTATCGTATTTACCCACCACGAGTACCGGGCTCATTTTAGTACCCGTATAAGCACAAATAAAGAATGTTTTATTATTACATACCTAGGTGCTTAAATATGATATTACTCAGTGTTGACATATATGTCCAATGCCAATACTGAATATTACCATACTTAAGTATCCGGATATAAATCTCTAAAGAGTACAACGCACGAGGGCCTTCGTGGCGGATGAATACAGTATATAAAATGGATCAATAACGAGATTTCCAAGTTCATTCCGGATTGTTTTATTAGTTTGTTATGTTATGATTTATAAACATCAGTCAAAACTAATTATAGAGAAAAATGATGATAGAACCATTTAATGAGTTAAAATTTCGAATGGGTAAATACTCGCGGAGTATTTACAAATATTTATAGAATATCATTTTACAAACAAAATAGTTCTGTAATTCCATTAATAACAACTTGGTTTCCATTATTCATCTCTCTTGTCACCACACGACCAATTTCGTAAATATCGGTATCGTGTTCACTTTTTTCGAGTAAATTTATAGCATTAATTTTATCATTAGGTGACACAACCAAGACCATTCCTATTCCACAGTTAAATGTGCGAAATAACTCATCTATTTATGACAAAAATATGATCATATTAAAAAATATATTTTAAAAAAAAAACTTAATACACATGAACAAATACGCAATGTTTGAAAACCTAAATACAAACCAGAAGGTATATTCCCATTTTTCGCGAGCCACTTGAATACTTCCGGTATTTTCCATGACTTTGAATCTATATTAGCTCCGAGGTGTTCAGGAATGACCCTCGGTATATTATCTACAAAACCTCCACCTGTGATATGTGCCATTGCCTTGACAATACCTTTCTTGACTAGAGGCAGTAATCGTTTGACATAAATTCTTGTTGGTGTAAGTAAGTCTTCACCAAGTGTGAGTTTTGTGTTCCACGGACAAGGTGATTCATATCCAAGGTTATATTTATCAACAATTTTGCGCACCAATGAAAAACCGTTAGAATGAATGCCTGAAGACGAAATACCGATAAGGATGTCACCAACGTTTATATCAGATTTACGTGGGAGTATATTTCCACGCTCTACCGCTCCAACTGCAAACCCCGCCAAATCATAATCGCCTATAAATTATAAGTTATTTTATCAAATTAGAAAGACGTCACAATAAATGAGCACATATTATTTGATTATTCTTAACCTTCATTATAAACTCCAGGCATCTCTGAAGTTTCACCACCAATCAACGCGCAGTTAGATTCTAGGCATCCCGCTGCAATACCTTCTATTACGTCCTTTGCAACACCAATATTTAATTTACCACATGCATAGTAATCGAGAAAAAATAGAGGTTCAGCACCCTGTACAATTAGATCATTGGCATTCATGGCGACAAGGTCAATACCTAGTTAATTATAATTAATTTAGTTAATATAGTTCGAAGTTAAATTATATATATATATATATATTTCAAGCCGAATTATTAAAACATGCACGAACCAATAGTGTTATGAATGTTAACCGCCTGTGCGATCTTTAATTTAGTTCCCACACCGTCGGTAGTTGCTATCAAAATAGGATCAGTGAATCCAGCAGCTTTTAAATCAAAAAGACCACCAAATCCACCTATTTCACAATCAGAACCAGTACGTAGAGTGCTTTTCACTAATGATTTAATTTTTTGGACAAGGCTATTTCCGGAATCAATGGAAACACCTGCAGAAGCGTATGTCATTATATCATTTTCTGTAGGATTTTGAGTCAAATATGAAAAAGCACTAATATATGTAAAATATTGCATTAGCAAGAGGCGATGACATATCACTAATAAACCTTACATTGGCTTACCGGTGAGCAATATCTTTTCGATAGACCATATTTTCAAACTGGATTGCTTTGACACATTCATAAGCTTTATTCACAGCATCTCTTAATGTGCGTCCTTCTCCTGTCACTGCAAGCACGCGACCACCAGATGTAACAGGTTGTCCATTGTTTATACTAGTACCAGCGTGAAAAATTAATGCTTCTATAAATAAACATTATTGTTATTGCAGGATTTATCAATATGGGTAATTATTTTTGAATCCAGACCAAAATTTTATTACGTCATATATAAAATTGGTTCAGTTTCAAAAATAATTACCCATATGTTATCAACAATTATAAACATTTACCAGAAGGAACGTTTTGAATAGAAATTTTTTTTCCTTTTTGATAGTTTCCAGGATAACCACCCAAGGCAATAATGACAGCAGCCGCGAAACTAGGTTTTGTGTTAATACGAACCGAATCCAATCGCCCTTCGGCACATGCCTAAATTACAAATATTACGAAATAATATTTGAGACCATGAACCTAAGCATAAAATTATTAAAATGGCTTTTTTAGATTATTGTACCAGCATTATTTCGGCCAAATCTGAATCATCACTCAAAAGTGGTAATGCGACTTCAGTTTCCGGGTCACCAAAGCGTACGTTATACTCTAACACCTTTGGACCAGAAGAAGTTATCATTAGTCCGGTAAAAAGCATTCCAACAAATGGGAAGCCTGAAATACAGTGTCCAAATTTAAGTTTTGATATTATTATTTCATAATAAATAAGATAAAAAAATGTTTACCATCACGTCTCATGCCATCAATAGTAGGTTTAATAATTGTATTTTTTATCTTTGCGTTAAGCTCCGGAGTTGCAATCGGCGTCGGACAATAACAACCCATTCCACCAGTATTAGGCCCCTAAAACACAAAGTATAAATAAAATAAGATGAAATAAAATATATGATATAAATAAAATAAAAGTTAGCCACCTGATCACCATCAAAAATGCGTTTGTGATCTTGAGCGGGAGGAAGGGACACAAAAGTGTAACCGTCAGAAAAAGTCAAGACACTCAATTCTTGGCCTTCAAGAAACTCTTCAATAACAATTTCGTCGCCTGATAATAATACATTGTTTATATAATGATATTAGTAATTATAAATTTCATATTATAATAGTTTAAATCTTACCAGCGGATCCAAATACTTTATTAACCATAATTTCTTTCAATGCATCTAAAGCTTCTTGTTTATTATTAGGGATTAGGACTCCTTTGCCTCCAGCTAGACCTGAAGCCTTGACAACCATAAATAAACTATGGTGAACATGGAAAGTTAATTAAAGTTCCGTGAGCAAGCATCTTATGCATATTCGTACCTTTATGACTACGTTATAAGTAACCGACTCGAGAAAAGCTTTGGCCTTTTCATAATCAGAAAAATTCTATATGCAATATATTTTTTAAAATTATTTAAGACAAATTTTGTATAATATATTAATAATAATACGAAACATTTAAATGGCTAACCTCATAAATGGCAGTAGGAATATTATGTTTTTTCATGAAATTTTTTGCAAATGTTTTGGAACCTTCCATAATTGCAGCTTTTGGCGACGGACCAAAACAACGAATTCCAACTATCCATAGAAAATGAAAGTATAAATTATTTCAAAATTGCGTTAAGAAATTCACAAAAAAACAAAAAACAAAATTAACGTACTTTTCCTAAAAGCTAATTCAATGCCTTCTACAAGAGGTTGCTCAGGACCAGGTACGACCAAATTAATCTGCATAAAAAAGTGCATATCAGATGTTAGTTCGTGTCAAGTTCAAATCATTGAAAGTATCGACTTACATTATTTGACAGAGCAAACTGTGTCAAACCGACAAAGTCATTGACAGCAATATTAACATTAGACACTTTATCTATTCCATTTTCAGTACCTCCATTACCTAAATGAAGCGTATTCGTAAAAATATTGAAAAATATCAATTATAATAGTGATAAAATAAATTACCTGGGGCTACAAATATATGTTCAACTTTGGGAGACTGGGACAATTTCCAGGCAATAGCATGCTCACGACCGCCAGAGCCAACGATAAGAATTATAAGCTTTTCTAAATTGATTAAGCCAAGTAAATAAAGTATTAGAACTTATAAAGATTACAAAATAAATCGTAAGTACCTAAAGACATCTTGTAGTTTTTTTTAGATTCGAAAATTTTCAGATAACAGATAATCAAAAATAAAAATCCATCTGATTGGTCGTCTATCTTTGAAATTTCATTGGCTGCGCAAAAATTGTGCGCAGATCCGTGATTTTGATTGGATGACAATTTTTTTATATGACATTAGCATTTCATGCGAGAGGCACATCTCTATTTAAGACTTTGTTTAATTCTAGTATCTGCATTGATCTTCAAATCCAGATAAATTTAGACATCCAGATCAGAGATTTTTACTCGGATTGATCAAAGAACTTAAATAATGGACATAAACTGACATTGATCCAATCAATCCGGATTTAATAGAATCCGGATGGTCTGTCAAAGATAGGATCGGAACACTATTTAATTCTACAAACTTGTAGAAGCAAAATTAAAAAAATTCGAGCTCGATTAGGCAGTTAATAAGAAACAATAATACTAAAATTAACTACTAGTGTTTAACACCGCATATACTGTACTAGTAAAATTTAGTGTGTTAGGGTGTTGTTATATAGTAGGTTAAGGATGTGTTAATATTAGCGGTTAAAATTTAAATTACTAAAGGTTTTGGAATGCTAAACATTTTTACTTGACATAAACCTCTCTATAGTCACACCTACGAAATACAAAAAAGCATGATTATAGAGAAGTGTGCTAATTATAAAAATCAAATTATTATATTTAATACAGTCAAACTCTCTAGTCGCCTTCAATATAAGAATATTTTCTTTATAAGCACATTTTTTTGAAACAACTATGTATTAAATATAATAAATTGACCTTTATAGTTGCCACGCCTTTCTACGTACAATTATACTTTTTTATTCCAATATGTAATTATAAAGAGGTTCGACTATATCTAATACATAGTACGTATTAATAAAACGCTATATCAAAGCAATAATAAAATATTTTCATTTAAGAATTGAAAAAAAGAGTTTAACTTTTAAAATTAGGGTTTGCAATTGGACAATTTGGCTATTTAGTAAAATTTAAAATTTTAAAATTTAGTTTTTTTTAAAATACTGCAAATAGCTTCTATATATTCAGAAATGAACAAGTTAAATAATTGAACAGTAGGATACGGCCAAGCTTTTCATTATATTATATATGTTAATAAATCAAGGAAATTACTATTCATACCGTTATTTTTGTTATTCGTACCTTAAACATAATCATCGCATCGTATGATGTCGGAGCTCCAAAATACAAACACCGCTTTCGATTAGTAAGCATTATTAATAATCAAAAAAGAGGAGTTTGAATTTGGGGCCCCGACATCATACGATGCGATGATTAAGTTTAGGGTACGAATAACAAAAATAACGGTATATGTATCAATCCCCTAAATCAATAGACACTAGACAAATTAATATGTCCAGTATCTAGCAAAATTCACTACGTAGATGCTGTTAAAAATCTTAATTTTGTCACAAATGCACTTGAATTTGCCACCGCTTTAAACGTTCCCAAATTTGGAAATTTACCAGACTGTATTTACACAAATTGATATTACAGTAATAGGAGTTCCAAACCTCACATTTCTATTTCCCAAAATGCAACGTCCAACTACTACAACTACTACAGCTACTCAAAACATATTTTTCTCAAATTTAGAAGAGGATTTGAATAAAAAGCTTGATAACGAGATCGAAAGTCTTATTACAAGTTTTCGCGATATTGTGAAAGAATCAGGATTTTATGCGACTGTTCGAGTACCTAATAGAGATAATGATAGTAGGGTACTTTGCAATATTGATTTTTAGATACATAATTTTAAGGAAATAGTCATTATGTTTTTTTATGTTTTTATAATATAAAAAGAGTAATTTTTGATAAATATATAAAAGGAAGTTGAAAAAGATGAATATCGAAATGCTCTAGACGAATATGTTTGCGAACTACGAGCTGCAAATATGGTAAGAATAAATTCTTTTCTTTTACAAACTTTTACAAACACTTTTATATTTTACATTAACAATTTTATTTTGGATTAAAGATTCGATCATGTGAAACCCTTCTAACCTTGACACACGACTTAAAAACAACTTTATTATTAAACGACACGCAAACATTAATGCAACTACACGAAAGTAGGAAAAACGCGTTGAATGCTAGAACCCAAAAAATTAAACATAAAATTATACAGCTTAATGATGCAGTTAATGAGGCTATCTGGGAGATGGAATGTGTATTGGGCGGGAGCCAGGTACGTAATGGCAATGGTGCAGTATAAACAGCATGAAATCTGATTTTTGTAGATAGCATTCTGGGAAGATAATATACTCTTTTGTTTTAAATCATATTATAAATTTTCGTTGATTCGTGGAGGCATATTTATTTAAATATTCACCTATGATTCAGATTATAATAATAAACTTACAGAAAAAAATAGATTAAGTTTTAATTTTTTCAAACAACCTCATCAACATTTCATACACAGTAAATGTACATCCTGCAGCGGGTAAACTAAAAATTGAAGGTATGTTTGTTTACAATTAACATTTGTTTGCATTATTAAAAATATTGATAAATTAATTAATGTTTTACCTTCTTATCACTTTATAATAAAATAAATAAACGGTAATTTATTAATAATAATAGCAATATAAACTATTTTGAGAAAATATATATTGCCAACTTACCTGTAGGCGTAATGCCTCGCAGTAATGCCATAGCACCTTCACTATTATATATCGATCTGAAGGTGGTAATGACATAGAAAATTCCTTTGGGGGGATTATGCTGATTTTGAACCTACCATTGATTCCATTGAAATAGTTATTTTATATATGCAAGCATATATTTAGTCTATTATTCAAGATGTTAAATATCCCTCACCTTAGATTTGATCACATCCAGAGGGTAACAACATGCCCAATAACATATTCCTGCAAAAGACCCAGATAACATTAGTATCGAAGGTGGCAAACTATCAGGACTACTTCCGACCGGTGTAAACTTCCTTTTAGCAAATTCAAACCCGGAATAAAATCCAGCATAAGCTGGAATTTCACGTGCTACAGTAGCCCAAAATCCTCGATACAACCCATTTCGAATTCCAAATTCTTTAATTAATTGTTGAGCACAATCAATAGGCCCTTTATACTTAGCAACTTTTTTTGATCCGTATTGAGCTTGCATTTTAACCTTTAATAATTCCACAGGAGAAGAAAGAACACTATTAATTGCTCCTATTTAAATTAAAATGACGGTTAATTTATGAACTATATGTGAATAATCTAGAGATAGGGATGCACATGATTCATGGTAAGTCTTTGCTAGAAAAATGGCCCTCCGAGACTATGTAAATTTGATGAATAAAGTAAAATTTAATCATATTAGCCATCTGATGATTTAATTTCATAGAGAGAGCTTACGAAATAAATAAAAAATAAAGCTTAATTAAATTGGGTCATGTATAAACAATATGATTAAATTTTATTCATTAAATCTATATAGTCACAGAGGGTCATTTTCCTAGCGAATATCATCTACTGAATTATATATTTGATAAGCTTTAGAGGTATGAGATTCTCTGCTTATATATTTATATAATCATTTGGAAAAATGCATATTTTTCGGAATCATGCACATGAATGTGCATCTGACCATCTCTAGAATGAGCTAAATAATTAACTACCACATCTATACACTTAATAATTGTGACAGCTGAAGTTGAAATTGGTTAGTGCTGAAATTTTGATCTATTTTTTTTTTGTGGTATCTAAAAAAAAAATGTGGATTTTAGTAGGTACCAGTTTAAATGAAGACCCCAAATTTCAGCATTAGCCAATTTTAGCATAAGTTGTCAATAATTTAAGGCCAGATCAAAATTGATAATTCTTTGTTTAACATAACGGATAAGACATTGAAAAAACATTAATATTGATGACTAATGCTGCAATTTACTGATTAATTAGGTTTTAAGAAATGGAAAGGGTTAGTTAATATAGTGAGTATTAGTTTGTGGTGGGGTTATGTTAAATTGGTCTGACCTTATTGTGGTAAAAAAAAAAAAACTATTCATACCTGCCCCTCCACCAGCGATCGCAATTTGGTGAAGTGTTAGTTGTTCACCGGGTGAGACTGTTTGAATTTCTTTTAAACGTGAATAAGCTGCAAAAAGTAACGCATTTACTGCACCAATTCCGATTAACGGACTAGCCATTCCTAGATGATAATAAAATATACATTGTCATAAATTAATTTGCACATAAGCTTAATGTGCGAAAATTAATAATAACCTTTGTAAAGAGCGAAAGGTCCTTCTTTTTTAACAGTTTGTAAAAAGCAATCCATAGGACCTTTAAATTTAGTAGCTTCTATTTGTAGTCGTACCTTTTACGATTAGAAGTTGCGCTGTTAATTTATTATAAATAAAATGCTAAAAAGCTTATAAAAGATTCTTACTTTTATAGTATCCAGAGGTTGTCCAACAGCAACTTGTGCCTAACAAATTTAAAATGAAATTTTGATTTGGTTCAAGTGCCGGATTCAGTGTTTCGAGCAAAACTACATTCCAAAGTCCGTCATATTTCGTCAATAAGAAATAATTTTACTGGGGACGAAATAATTTTGGTTTAATTCGCAAAATATCTAGTAATTTTGCACTTTTCAAAACTTCTAAATATTTCGCCAGCGTAAAATCATTTCATTAGGGCGAAATACGGTATTTCGGACTTTCCTGAAACACTAGCGGGCTTAAATTACATAGACTAAGTTCTTCCAATGCAAACTTACCATACCAGCAAAGCTAAATATTTTCAATGCATTAAAGAACGAACGATGAAAAGTTGAAAATGTAAAAATAGACATAGTGAAGCTACCAACCTCCCAGCTACAAAATCTTCCCAGCCACTCTTCGATGATTTAATAGTAGTAACGACATCAATAACTTCTGTCATCGTTTCTAACAGCAAAAATTATAATTGTAATAATTCTGTAATTGACAAGGATATGGTTCAAGAAATGATTCACGTATCGATATTCGGACAATTTTCATTATTCGAGTTCCGTCCCAAATATAGAAACGATTCCGATATGGTTACACGCAGTGATGGTAAATGACCTGAAATGACCCAAATGACCCGAATGACAAATGACTAGTCATTGGGTCATTTCGAGACCCAAATGACTTAGAAGGTCATTTAACATATGTTAATTTATATTCCATTGCCCTTTAGCCAATCAGAATTTGCCGCCAAACAAAATATAATCGATAATCGTAGCTATATATTAAA